TAACAAGGAAGCTGACTTTCTCATTTTGTAACTTAGAGCCAGACAGATAGGGTTGACCCATTAGCAAAAGAAATACAAGATAACTAGGTAAATTTGAACTTACAAAAAAAAAAAATTAAAAAAATACTTTTGTAGTAAAGGCATGTCCCAAATATTGTAAGTAAGTAGCATATTTACACAAAGATGTTCATAGTTGTTCATCTGAAAAATTTTTATTTAACTGGGTATCCTTATTTCATCTAGAACCCCTACAGAGAAGCATCCTACCTAAAGCCTAGGCTAAAATGTACATTTTCTGACCAGAATCATGTGTTTCTACCCGATATTAGCGCTTAGTCATGTTTGGAGCTTCTTTCCCATTTCTATTTCAGCTTCTTTGTCAAGTGATTATAACCCAAATCATGTTCCTTAGTGTCTCAAATAAAAAGGAAGCTGGGGTTAGGCAATATTATTTTGGTTGATAACCACTGTTGTAGAATTGCCTGCTGTTTCATCATTTTAGTTTTTTTTTGCCATGGAGATATGCACTCTCCAGAGATAGAGTAAGAGGGAAAGTGGGAAATCACCCCTCGGGGAGACCAGCTACACCGCAATCCCTTCTCCATTCAGGATTTGGGGAATGTACATACATGTGCCCAGTATAATTTCCAAGTTGCCAGGTCTGGGAGTTGAACTGTTGTCAGCCATGTGGGAATCCAACACCATAACCATTGTGCTATCTACTGGCCTCCTGTTACAGATTTTCAGAATATTTCTCATCATTTTATCTCATTCATCACTGACAGTTATTACTCTTCCTACTTTTCAGATTTGACTGCCAGGACTCAGAATGTCTAAGAGACTTAACCAGGTTTTCACAGATAGTACTTAGTTCCTAGCCTGAGGGTCAAGTCTTTATAAGTGAAAAATCCAACGAAGTAAAAATAACATACATTCTGTTTCCATTAATTGTCAAGGTAATTAATGATGGGCTACTTTGAGGTCTATTGGTTAAGGGAGCCAATCTCATGTAGCTGGCCACAGTTTGACCGCTGGCCCTGGCAGCCAGAAAAACGCATCAGGTGTGAGTGTACGCATGCCCCACATCTTCACAAGATGGAGAGACAGAAAAGAGATTGTGGCGTGAGTATGGCCCACTGGTGGATACTTCCTCTCTCTCCCTCTCTCTGTCCCTCCATCTTTCTCTGTCTTTCTGTGACAACCATATACCCTCTGGCAATTAAAAAGGAAAAAAAAAACAAAAAACAACAACAAAAAACAATTGACAATACTTAAAACTATCTTTGATTTTTTTGAAAAACAAAATAAACAGACATGAGTTATTCTTTATTATTTTAGCTTATATCTAATCAGTAAAATCGGAGAAGGAAATGTTTTTAAAAACACTTGGTTTTACAAAGGTCTTTAAGCTTGGTAAAAGGGTTAAATCTGTTGAAAGTCTTAGTTTACACAGAAATAGAGTGGTCCACTTCTAAAATTATAATATTGTCTTAATACTTTTGCTAAGGAACTTGGTTTCATTATATCATTACTGTCACAAAGAGCAACGTGGCAACAGAATCACTAAGCATGAACTTGCATGGGATGTACACCAGTCAGCCAAGTCCTTCGAAAGATCCTCTGTAACAGGTACATGAAATCGGCCTGGCAGTCACTCGGTCCATTTGTCTGCCAAAGCCCTTACAAGCTTGGTACTGAGGGAGAGCTCGGAGTTGCATTGCCAGCTAATGATCTGGCCGGGCCACATGGATTCGGCCAAATTAAACATCTAATGAAGTGAAAAAGTGCCAACACGTTTCAGAATATATGATTAGGGTTACAAAATTAAAACCATCACCCCTCAATAAACACTTAAACGAATCAGAATAGAGGACCTATTAGTAACTTTGAAAGTTCACTGGCATTAAAAAAAAAAAAATCTTTGAAGAGTGCTCATTAGTGCTCAATATTAGAATCCCTATTGTTCTTTGTTCCTCTTGACCCTGCACTTCCTCTCCCCTTGCACACACACTTTTCTCTTCCTCGTTCTCTCTTATGACTCTTGTTGGTCTATCTCTGCATCATTATGTTCACTCTGGTACTGCACCCTTGTTTTCTCATTATTATCTTAACTTTCTCTTACTTATCATTTTCCTCCTTTCCCTCAGCTGCTCATGTATGGATAAGATACTAGGAGGGAAACTTCAAAAGTTCACGGAAAGTAGAATTATAGTCTGAGTGAATTCTGGTGTGAAATATTTTAAACGTCTACCCCTAGTTTTTTTTTTTTTTTTTTTTTTTTTTTAATAATGGGCTTTTTCATGAACTTTTTAAAGATCCCTCACATATTTTAAAAGACTTAAAAGCTATATAATGCTATGTTATTGATAAATGTCAGAAGTCATGATGCAGTCTTCTGTCTTGCTACACAAAAAATGCATCATAACTTTTTTGAAAATCCAATATATTATTGGATAGAATATCAGGTTTCTAATTCCTATATCTTAAAATTGCATTCATAAATGCTTTATTTTTTATTTACTTTTTTTTGAGGATATTGTTGCTATAGGGCACATGTACTTGCCGGAAAAACAGAGAGAGAAAGCAAGAAATACCCCCTCCCCCCCCACGTCCCCGCAGTGGGGATGGCCACACTGTAATCCCTTCTCCATTCTTCTCTCAGGATTTTGGGCATGCATGCACGCACGCCTGGCATGAGTTTTACACACGGGTCTGGACTTAAACCGCATTCAACTACACTGGTGTCTAACGACCTAACCATTATACCATCTGCTGGTCCCATAAATGTTTTATAAGACTTGATATAACTTAAAGATTTATCAGGCCAGCTTCATGGACTAACTTAAAGATTTATGGGCCACTTATTGGGTGGTATTAAGGCAGGTAGATTCCACACGGACAGTTACATGGTTGGAGTCTCAGACATGCACCTTGAAAAACACCGGAGGTGCATGAGCCTGCGTACTCAAAATCCTGAAAGGAGGAAGAAGAAGAGAAGGCATTGCTTGTGACCATCCCATGTGGGATTCTTCCTTCTTCTTTCTTTTTTAAAATTTGACAGAAGGCGCATAGACTCACTGGAGGAGAGACAGAGAAAAGGGAAAGCGAGGAAACACCTTCCATGGGGAATAGCCATGGCACAACCAATTCTCTTCTGCTTCTCTTTTCGGGATATTGGGCACACACTCCCAGTGTGTTGTCAAGCTGTCAGGTCCAGGATTCCAACCTCAGTCTGCCATGTGGGATTAGTCACTTGAACCATCACAACATTCCTGGCTGGCTGCCAGGATGCTTTCTCACCTTTCCTTTCTCTGTATCCCTCTTGCAGGCACAATGCCCTCTGGCAAATAAAATAACAGACTTATTATATCAGGTTTATGATATGCATGAGTAATAGTGCTTTTTTTCCTTTATAATATCTGTGGTATATTAAAACTTTCAATCTCTTGATACGTAATATTTACCATGCTCATACACAAGTTAAGAATATTTTTAGAAAGGCTGTATTATAGTGAATGGTATTTTCACAAAGGGAAAATTCCACTATTATGATAACAGCCTAAGTGATAATATTTTCCCCACATTGAATATAAACATAAATATTTTATTATAACTCATGATTTTCCTTTCAATATTTAATACAAACTTGGCTTTTAATAGTGCATTGGAATCCTGCAAAAAAAAGTTATTACTGGCCCAGCTGCAGTGGTGCAGGCAGTAACGTTGCTGTGTTATCCTGGAGCCCCATGGCAAGGCCCAGGGTTTGGATCCCAGGTATATCTGAACACATGGCATAACCGTGAGTGTATCCATGATCCTAGCTGGCTGGAAGCTGAGGGGAAGCACTGAAGCACAGCAGAACCCTGTCAAGGGTGCCTCTCTCTTAGTTTCATACATATAAAGGAAATAAATTAATAAACGTAAATGTAATTATTACTGATCTCACCATCTGGCCTTTACAACTAGGCAAAGTTATGTGATCTTCACCTAATTTGGGTGCTATTCAATCTTCTGATGCTCAGATACTTTTCACTGCTTTTGCAATACAAAGCTAGATCTTGTATCATTTCTATTTCCCTCCTTTTCACCACTGTGGCTTTTTACTGTTAATAATCCAACTTGTTAAACATGTTTAGAAAACCCAAGTCTTGAAGAATTCTATTTATTGTGGTGGTTTAAAGCCAAATTACCTAGCACGTATCCTGCATCACAAGACATGTCTTTGAGAAGAAAAAGGCACTACGTGTTTATTAGCTTGTTCTAAAATGTGGAGAAGTTAAAAATACCAACAGACATTTCATTTAAATCATTTTCAATTTGTTCTCAAGATAAACTAATAGTTATTTTTAATTTCTTCCTATGAAAATTATTTATTATCTTGCTTTTTAAAATAAAAAGTTATTATGAAGTGTTTTTTTCCATTTTAATGCATAAAACATATAATCTTCATTGAATATATATGATCCCTGAGATACCTTCAGAATTAATCCAGCCTGACACATAAGAAAGCATTTTCCTTGTGATTTCATCTTATTTCCTGTCATACTCATTGTAACAAATCCACATATACTGATTTAAGAAAAGCATTAACACACTTATTATACTTTTCAAGCATGCACTTGAAATCCCCAGGAGAAAAAATTACTTACTTTTGAAAAATTCAATTCTCTAATGGGACTCACAGCTTAGTCCTAATCCTTGTCTCGGAGGTTTTTAGGGTTCATGACAGCACCTATTCCAGGTACATACCTGGGGGTTACTGCTTAATGATCTCACTGCAGCCCAGCCTGATGCAGACATGAACCATTCCAGCTGCTTCTCGGGTATATAACTTTAAAGTAATCTTGGTCAGTATACAGTCATGTAAGGAAGAATATTCTTTCCTTATAAAAGTAGTGTGATATAATCTTCTTATTGTGATCATATAGTATTCTTAAGGAATACTGAAGCTAGTCGTTGTGATTTCATTTGATAATTACTGATCTCTAAGCAGCACTTACCTGGATAATATCGGGCCAGGCCAGTGGCACTACCAAACACCTGCCACAACAATGAAGGATCTTCCTCTCGATTTTTTTTGAAAACTTCATCTAAGGCACTTGTCCAGTTGAGTTCATTTAACACAATTGTTGCTACAAAAAAAAAAAAAAAAAAAAAAAAGACAAAAAAAAATTACAATTTAAAATTACAA